AAGGGGTGTGTGTGTGTGTGTGTGTGTGTGTGTGTGTGTGTGTGTCTTACATGTGTTTTTGTGTTACCTGTCTTGAGTTGGGAATGGAAAGAAGGAGCTGTTGTGGGAGGAGTCACAGTTGATGTTTATGAACAGTGGAGCCAGTGTTTTATGTCCTGGTTAAGAAGATAGGCTTTGGGGCTGGGGAGATGACTCAGTAAGTAAAGTGCTGTGCAAGCATGAGGACTTGTGAGGCCCCAACACCACCTAAAAGTAGTAAGCTGCACTGCTGGTGAGTCGCTGGCCAGCCAGCCACACTAGCCTACATAAAGTGATGGTGTCAAAAAAGACGGTGAAGGGTTGTCAGATGGCTCAATAGGTAAAAGTGCTTGCTGAGCAGGCCTGCTGAGCTGAGTTCAGTTCCTGGAGCCCATATAAAGGTGGAAGAAGATAATCTGCCTCACAAAGTTGTCTCTGACCTCCTCTATATGTATGCTACACACACACATAGAATAGTGGTGATGACTCCCAGCCTCTGGCTTCAAGTACACAGGCACAGGGACACAGGAAAGAAAAGGCTTTGCAGTTGGATCTGGTCTGGGTTTGTGCTACGTCTAACACATTGTTTGTGCTCTTAACCTTTTTTTTTTATATATATATATATACCTACAACAGGGATAAATTTATTAGGGTTGTATAAAATAAAGTAAGTTAATACGATGTTGGGGGGCCTGGGGGTGCATAGTCTCTCAGTAAATGATGGTGTTCATTAATATACTTCTGAAATAGATGACTTCTGTAAAGTTTGTATAACTTCAAATTATATATGTAATAAAGTTGATTTTTCTTTCCATGTGCAGTCCTGTTAATTTCAACACTATATATGTATAATAACTGCCAAGGATTCAGGAACGGCCTATCACTTCAAAACTCCATCAGTTTCCTATGTTACAGATTTACCCTCTTCCTACCCTAACCCTGGCACTCCCATCTGTTGGTTGTACTGTAGTTTTAAAATTTCCAGCTTTTTTTTTTTTTTTTTTTATTTACTTATCATGTATACAGTGCATTCCAGAAGAGGGCATCAGATCCTATTACAGATGGTTGTGAGCCACCATGTGGTTGCTGGGAATTGAACTCAGGATCTCTGGAAGAGCAGTCAGTGCTCTTAACTCCTGAGCCATCTCTTTAGCCCCCAATTTCCAGATTTTTATGTAAATAGAATTATAAAAATTTTAGCCATTTCAGAGTGTCTGATTTAATTTGACTAAATAAAGTGAGATACACATGTAAGTTAGAACTAAATTTTGGAGGAAAGAGCTCTCATGTACCTTAGGCTAATCTGAAACTGTACATAATCCATGTGGCCTTTAACTTTAAAACAAAGATTTATTTTTTATATGGTGTTTGAATGTTTCCTTACATGTATGTGTGTACACCCAGTGTGTACTTGGTGCCTAGAGGCTAGAAGAGGAGTGTCATTCCCTGGAACTAGAGACTTTTGTGAACTGCCATATGGGTGCTGGGAATTGAATCTGGGTTCTTTCAAACAGCAGCAAATGTTAACTCCAGATCCATCTCTCTGCCCCATGGAGCAGCGCTTCTGTTAGCCCTGCTTCGCTTTCCAAGTGTTCATTCAGGCTTGTAAAACCTTTGTTTGGGGCTGAGGGATGACTTAGAGGTGAAGAGCATTAGGTGCTCTTCCCGAGCTCGTGAGTTCAATTCCCAGCAACCACATGGTGGCTCACAACCATCTGTAATGAGATCTGGTGCCCTCTTATGGTGTGCAGGCAGAACACTATACATAATATATCTTAAAGAAAACTGCTGGGTGGTGGTGGTGCAAGCCTTTGATCCCAGCACTCGGGAGGCAGAGGCAGGCAGATCTCTTGTGAGTTTGATGCCAGCCTGGCAGACAAGAGCTAGTTCCAGGACAGCCTTCAAAAGCCACAGAGAAACCCTGTCTCGAAAAAAAAGAAAACTTTGGTACACATTGGTAAGAGCAGCAAGTGTTCTTAACTGCGGAGCATCTCTTCAGGCTCCTGTGTACATTTCCCCCTTGAGACAGGGTCTGGTAGCCCAGACTGGTCTAGAATTTACTTTGTAGCCTAGGATAATCTTGAACTCCCCTACCTCGCCTTCTTAAGTGCTGGGATTAAAGGTATGGACCATTTTGAAGTACTATTTTGCTTTTTTTTTTTTTTTTTTAAGACAGAGTCTCATGTAGACCAGGCTGGCCTTAAACTCAGAAGAGCTCCACCTGTCTCTGCCTCCCGAGTACAGGGATTAAAGGTGTGTGCCACTAAACCTGGCTTTGACTCTAAATGATGAAATTAACAAGGAAAATTGCCATGCGTTTGTCTTGTTTTGCATTGCTGTAACATTGCAGCAGGGTTGTGAGCTGAAAGGTAGCTTTCCACCCAGCGTTAGTGCATAGAGGAGGTCTTGCACTTGCCAGTCTTGCACACTTCAGTTAGCAAGTGGCTTCACCTTTACTCTCTGGAAAACCCAGGATGGTGGGTCACATTAGGCAAAGAGGGTCACAAAAATCAAAGGATTCTAACAAGCTTAAGTAGCCATTAGATGCGTAATTAATTGTCTTGTGGTGCCTAGAAGTAAAACTCTTGGGTCACACATGGCTTAGGCTCCAGAGCAGTCCTGGGGCAGGAGTGTTAGATTTGAATGGAAGCATGAAGACCAAGTTTCTTTCCTGTCACCCTTCAGCCCCAAATATACACAACAATGCTTATTTTAATTAGAATCTATTTGGCAGGTGGCTTTGGCTCAGGCTTCCTACTTACTGGCTAGCTCTTAATTATTAACTCATAACTACTAATCTATGTATTAATACATGGCCTTATCAGAGAAGGCTCCAGCAAGTTATTCCTTCAGCCACTACATGGCATCTCTCCTGGTGGCTCCTCTCTGCCTCTTCTCCCCAGAATTCTTGTCTAGTAGCCCCACCTATGTTCCCTGCTGGCTACTGGCCAGTTTTATTCACCAACCAGTAAGAAATCAAAGGACATGCCCCATCAGAAGCACTTGGCTGTTTTTTTCTTAGTTTGTGCCCTCTATAAGGCCCCCCCCCTTTTTTTTTTCTTTTTTGAGACGGGGTTTCTCTGTGGCTTTGGAGGCTGTGCTGGAACTAGCTCTTGTAGACCAGGCTGGTCTTGAACTCAGAGATCTGACTGACTCTGTCTCCCGAGTGCTGGGATCAAAGGCATGCGCCACCACCGCCCAGCCCTCTATAAGCCTTCAGTTGATAAAACACCAGCCAGCCTAACTTCAATCTACTGTCTATTTTAAAACGTTTTAAAAATGGGTAACTGTATAAGCAGATTTCAAGTCTCTTACATGGAAACAAAGTCAAAAAGGTTTAAATCTCTCCTATTTTAAGTTTTAAAATTAAAATGGTGACATCTAAGCCTGTCCAGTCAGCTTTTAGACCCTGTCCCTAAAGCAGGTGACTTAGTGGTTCCCTCCTGCCTTCACTGTTGGTAAGCTTTGCAAAGCAGGATTATCTCTCAGCTGTTTATGGTATGTTGAAGTTGAGAGAAATGTCCAAGAATCTGTAAAAGTGCTGAATTGGATGAAGAGTGACCACTGGAGTATACAGTGCTGTGTTGTTGCCATGTGCAATATTGGGGCAGGGAATGAAAACGGAGCGTAATACCTTAATAACTTCCACCATGACCCATCGAAACACAGGAAAACTATTCAAATCTACATTATTCCTTTCTTTGGCTTCTGCTTTTGTTATATTTTCCCCATAAAAATTTATCCTAATGTTTATGAAAATCTGTTTTTTTTGCAACTTTTTTTTTTTTTCTTCTTCGAGACAGGGTTTCTCTGTGGCTTTTGGAGGTGTCCTGGAACTAGCTCTTGTAGACCAGGCTGGTCTCGAACTCACAGAGATCCGCCTGCCTCTGCCTCCCAAGTGCTGGGATTAAAGGTGTGTGCCACCAACGCCCAGCTTTTTGCAACATTTTTAAATATTTTTTTGTCCGAGCTATCAAGTGCCATAGTTTTACTAGCTTATTGAAATTGGGATTTTTTGTTTAGATAATCTGCAGCTGTCATCCACCTGAATTTGTTGTTGACTTTTTTTGGAAATGGCTTTTTGTTTTTGTCCCCCCCCCCCCCCCCCCCCGAGACATTTTTTTTTAACTGTTGCTTTGGAGGTTTTCCTGGAACTCGCGCTGTAGACCAGGCTGGCCTCAAACTCACAGAGATCCACCTGCCTCTGCCTCCCGAGTGCTGGGATTAAAGGTGTGGCACCAACGCCCGGCAGGAAAATGGATTTCTTTTTCGTTTTCTTTTTTTTTTTTTTTGAAGTGAAATTTTTTATTTTATTTTATTCTAGTTAGGGAGGAAATGGATTTCTTAACAGGTAAATTTAATGGCCTTTGTTCAAAAAGGCTGTACTCATCAAGTTAATTGTCCCTTCATGTGGTTTAAGAAACAGACCAAACTTATAGATGTTACTGTTTGTGAAGTCATGGAAGGCTTGTGACACCTAGGCTACCTGCTCCTTGGAAAATGTTTTGAGTACCCTTGGGTACAGGGATCTCAGCTGGGACACTACCATCTTTGCAGTGTGCTGGAAAGAATGGCCAGATACTCAGTAGTATTAGCAAAAACTGCACCAGTTAACCAAGGAACAGATGAACATCCCATTTTAAGTGTGAATGAGCACATATGTATGAAAAGTGTGATGTTGGCAGACTAGAGTGTGTGTTTGTGTGTGTGTGTGTGGGGGGCAGGCAGAGCTATGCCTAAAAATATTTTGATTTTTTCTTTTTTAATTTTCTGTGATGTGAGTGGTGCCTGAGTCGTGCAGGTGATGAAGTGTGTCAGCAGGAGAGTGGCTTTCTCAATGGAGTACAAAGGGTTGATGAGTGAAATGCAGTGTGCCTGTGAACAAATGGGGTCACTAAAACGGATGAGATACTCTCCTTTTGAATCAAACAACATACTCACAATTTTTTTGCAGGCAGCAATGTATTTAAGAGTTGCAAAAGGTCATTAAGATGTTTGTTTTATTTTAAGGCAGTCCTCTGCCTCTGCTTTCCCAGTGTTGATTCTGGTATGTGCACCACCAGTCTGCTCCCCTCCCAGCTGGGTTTCCTGTGTAGCACAAGGCTAGTCGGGAACTCATCTTCCTGCTTCAGCTTTCAGAGTACTAGGATTATAGCTGTCCCATGCCAGTGACAGTTGAATTAAATTAAAGTGGATGCTGATTTTCTTTTTTTTTGGTTGCAGAACTTGAATTTTCTCTTACAGTGATGCTCCCATTAAAGATCAGAAAAATACTCTTCCCAGCTCAAACATCACCTTAGGAAAACAAAAAGGGAGAGTTACTAATTTCATGGTGAAGCAACTGAATTCCATTTTCTAAGAAGGGTTTGTATGAGGTTCATAAATCCCTGGTGATTCTACATGGTGTCCAGTTGACAGAATTAACAATCACAGCAGCTCAAGTGACTTTTCAAAGACTGCTGCGAGTGAGAAGTGTCCCTGGAGGGAGCACTGTCACTGCCTTTCTCACATGGCAAGCTGAGGACAGGCAGTTGATCTGATAGTAGACTGTACGTGATAAACTAGCAAATGTTGTTTGTAAGGCACAGGAGCTCATTCATGGCACCTGCCACCCAGGCCTTTGGAGCCACAGCTGCTGCTGACCTCGATGGTGATGAGGATCACAATCATCCACTCCAGGCGGAGGGCCCGGTTCTCATTCAGGTGGTTCCGCATTAGGTCTGTTAGTTCCATGCAATGTTGAAGCTTTTCATTCATGACCTGCAAGAAAAGTCTTAGGGTCATGGTTTTTATCTGAAGAGAATATACACTTAGATATACAATGTGGTTTATCTGATTCCAGCTGCTTAGTCCTCAAAGACAACTAGCCACTAGCAAATAGTGTTCAGTGACTCTGTCTAGAAACATTTTGCAGTGCGATTTTGTTTTACTGTGTGTGTGTTTCTGAATGTATGTGTGTACAGGTGCCTGCGGGGAAGCCACAAGAATCCATCAGGCTTATGTTAAGCATTTGGGAGCTACATGGTGCTGGGATCTTCGATCTGGTACTAATTAGAAAGCACTCAATCACCAGGCCATCTCTCCAGGCCCTCATTTATTTTGTAACCTAGGGTGGCCTGCAGTCTTGCTCTCACCTCCCAGAGGTCTCGTATTCCATGAACCACCATATCTGTTTATATGCAGTGCTAGGGACTGACTGAACTTAAGGCTTTATGCTTGACAGGCAAACACTACCAAATTAGTTCTAGTCTATGCTCCCTTTGTATTGCAAGAAAACAAAAAACAAAAAACAAAAAACTTGGCATGTTAATTCTCCTAAGATGGAGGTGTTAAGCTTTCTTAAAACAGTTTCTGCATGTATACCTGTGTGAGGTTATTGATCCCTTGAGAACTGGAATTACAGTTGTAAGCTATCATACTGGGTACTGGGAACTGAACCCAGGTCCTCTAGGAAGAGCAGCTGGTGAGTGCTCTTAACCGATAAGCCATCTCTCTAACCTCTGGTGGAAGCTTTAAAAATAGGGTTTCTAGTATTCTGTTAGGGAAGCAGAGACTAATCTCCACAGTTCAAATTTGAGTATGTACTGAACTGAGCACTGAAATAAGTAGTGCATGTAACCTGGAACTCACTACCAGAAGGCACTACTACTAGCCATACTAGCAAAGGTTATGACACCTTGGACAAGCTGGTTGGAGTGGGGTGTGGCTGTGTGTCACACAAAATAGACTCTGATTTTAAAACCTGGATGTCAATACTAGGCAGTTATACCCTCTTTAGTACTTGTACATTTCTCTGAAAGCTATAAAGTTGGGGAACATTATACTTGGTACAGGTTTGGCTAGTATGAGCTAAAGTCTAGGTGTGAACTGAAACATGTCATACTCAGGGTTCTACACAGCATTCAACTGCTTTACTAGTGAGGGACAACACACAGAACTTCTTCGCTGGGGCTGGAGAGATGGTCAGTGGTTAAAGAGTACTGACTGTTCTTTGGGAGATCGAGGTCCTGAGTTCAGTTCCCAGCAACCACATGGTGGCTCACAACCTCTGTAATGAGATCTGGTGCCCTCTTCTGGCCTGCAGGCATACATGCATGCAGAACACTATACATAATAAATAAAACTTAAAAAAAGAACTCGGCTGGTAGGCCCACCTTGTAATTTCTAATCAACAAATGTCTAGGGTGGCACTCTATCTACTGACAGCTTAGTCTTGGCTTCAAATGTGTTCATCTTTCAGCTTGCTTCAAACTGCTGACAGACCTCCATTTCAGCTGTGACCACAGAACAGAGATTATGTTCTTTCCTGACAATTGCTTACAAAAGACACAATAACAACCCCACCCCACAAAAGACAGCCCCCACCCCCACCCCCCCAAAATTGTTTCAGCAGTGTTAAAGTCTCCTGGGGACCAGAGAGGGCTCAGCAATAAGAGTGTTTATTCCTCCTGCAAAGGTCAACCTAGGCTGTTCCCCAGCACTCAAAGCCAGGCAGCTCACAAGTGCCTGTAACTCTACTCCAAGGTGTTCTGATGCCTTCTTCTGGACTCCGGGCATCTGAATGTACATACTGTAAAAAGCTCACACATAGGGTGCTGGAGAGATGGCTTAGAGGTTAAGAGCACTTACTGCTCTTCCAGAGGACCCAGGCTCAATTCCCAGCAACCACAAGGTGGCTCACAACCATCCGTTATGAGATCTAGTGCCCTCTTCTGGTGTGCAGATATACATGGAAGCAGAATGTTGTATAAATAATAAATAAAATCTTAAGAACTTCCCTGCAGAGAATGGTGGTGAATACATTAAATCTCAGTAGTTGGGCAAAGGCAGGCAGATCTCTGAGTTCAAGGCTAGCATGGACTATATACATAGCAAGTTTCAGGCCAGCCAGAGCTACTTAAAAGTCTGTCTTTTAAGTCTCCTGATGATTGAAATCCCGTTTTCTTAGTTCAAAGCGGGATTAACCCAAGCATTTGGCACAGGACAAAGCAGTTTCAAAATCAGGAGAATAGAATTAATTTCCTTTTGAAATCGAGTCCCTGTTCATTCTACAAACATAGTAGCAGATGTCACAGTTTACACACTAGTGGGGATACCTAAGAATGTCGGTGTGGAGGGCCCACATGGGGACACACATGAAGGAAAACGTGGCTGGAGGGGTATGGCTGAAGCCCTCCAGCAAAGTGGAGGTCAGGAAAACAAGGTGCTTGCGGGCAGGCAGCAATGCAGGCAGCCCTGAGTGCATGGCTGTTTCCTAAGCAATTTTATCAAGCTCCTGTGGGAACACGTTGATTCTGAGACGGAGAGAAGCCTACAACTTGGTGGCAGTCATATTACATCTCATAAGGATTACACTCAAAAGTCTGCACATGGAGACAGCAAGAGAAATAAGATGGAATATTTAAAAATTTTCTCAATAAATAGTGAGGCTTGTTTTCAAATTAATTTACACAACATACCCATTCTAAGCATTGGATTCTAACAAATATCCATGTAACTACATTTTCACTGCCAGTTTACTCACATTACCCCCACTTGCCAGCCACACTCCCCACTCTTAGGGAATCAGTATTATACTCTTCCTTTTGTGACGGGGTTTCACTTAGCCCAGGCTGGCTTCCAGCTCACTATGTAGCTGAAGATGACCTAGAACTCTGGACCACCTGTCTCTGTAAGTGCTGGGATTACAGGTGTGCACCACCGCCCCCAGGGTACAGATGGTGCTGGAGATGCTTCCAGGAAGTCCTTCATCAACTGAGCTCCACCACCCTACAGGACACTTGTCTTTAATCTAGAATTTAATTCTTTATTTTATGCATGTGAATATGCCTGTGAGTGTCTGGGAGTTACTGATGGTTGGTTATGTGGCACCATGTGGGTGCTGAATAATAATGTAGGTCACTGTTTACAAAGGAGGCTTCTAAAAGGAACCCTACTATCTAGATGTTCCTGACCTGGTAAGGTACCACCTCCTGTCTTGTTCACTCTAGGACTCTTACCATGCCTGTGATAGTTAGCAGATGCTTTGTACAGAAGCTCCTGTGACAAGGACCTGAGACCTTGTGACCAACTGCCTCAAGGGACCGAATCTAGACAGGAAGGGGATCCTTCCCAGCAGTCCTCAGAGATGCCTGCAGCCTCCAGATAGGCCCTGACCCATAAAACTAGGAGAAAGATGCTTTAAGCTGCTAGTTCTGGGGAAACACTGCAGAGCAGAATTTAGCCAATGCTGGCACTTGAGAGGCCTCATTTGCATAGAGCTTTAGCATCCCCCTCACATCCTTATCTTCAGCCTGTGCACTAGCCAGCCACCAGAAAAGTCACACTTCTGTCTGTCCAGACAGCCTGGGGCATCAAATGTCCCAGACATCTGGTTATCAAACTACACTGAGTCTACTGCAACAACTCCAGCACTGGTGACAGTCTTTCTGAGCCTGCTAAGGTGTCTCTACTTTCCTGCATTAGAAGATGCAAAGGAACACCAAGATGAGTGACAAACTGCAGATTTGCTGGGATTGTTATGCAAAGGACAAATGTCTGGGTTGGAGAAAAGGATATATTCCAGAACTGCATAGCATTCAAAGATTTTGAAATTATGTCAATTTACTTGATGGGACATAGAGTGACTGGGAAGTGATAAGAAGTAATATTGAAAAGTATAGATCAGGAAACAACAAAAAAAATGGGAACTTTAATTTTGATTCTAAAAAGTAACTTAAAGGATGGTAAGACAGTTCAGTGGATAGAGGGGCTTGCTGCTAAGCCTGACAACCTAAGTTCAATCCCTAGAACCCACAAAGTGAAGGAAAGAACTGCGTCCTGACAGTTGCCCTCTGGATTCCTCATGCATACGGCAGCACCCATGCACCCACTTACTTAGTCCCACAGAATAAATGTACAATCAGCATTGTGCCTGGACATTTGAAAGTCACTAGCCCTCAGCAGAAAACAGTGGGCGGTGGCTGGGGAGATGTCTGAGCTGATAGATAAGGTGCCTGTAATGCAAGCATGAAGACCTGATTTCTGGTCACTAGCACCCACATGAAAATGTGGGCATAGGGCCTAGATAATGGCTCAGCAGGTAAAGGCAGTTGGCACCAACCCTGCCAATCTGAGTTAAAACACCAGAACCTAAGTGGCAGAAGGGGAAATAATGTTTCCCAATCCACAGTCACACTGGCATATATGGACACACAAATAAGGAAATAAATTAAAAAAATAAAACGGCACAGAAGCAAATGTCCACACTCCCAGAGCTGGGGAGAAGGAAACAGGAGGATCCTTGAGGCTTTTGCTGGCCAGCCAGCCTAATGAACCAGTGAGCTCCAGGGACAGTGAGAGTCTGTCTGAAGAGTATGATGGAGGGGTGGAAGGCTGGCTTAACAGTGAAGAGTACTGGTTGTTCTTCCAGAGACCCCAGTTCAGTGTGGTTCCCGGCAACCACAATGAGTGGCTTATATCAACCACCTGTAACTCTAACTCCAAGGGATCTAACACCTGGCTTCTGTACACATATACTCTTTGATTATACACACAAACCCATAGATACATACAAATAAATTTTTATAAACATAGACAACCACAGAGAAGACTGAAGTCACTCTCTAGTCTCTACATGCATGTGCACACACATATGAACACAAGCATGTACCATGCATATCACATGTAACACAAGATGAAGAAACATGTTTATCTACTTGGAAGGCTGAGGCAGGAGGATTCCCAAGTTCAAGGTTTCCCAAGTTCAAGGCCAGCCTGGATTTCCACCTCAAGAACAAGGAAACATTAAAACAAAACAACCCAGAAATCTTAACTGAGCCTTTGACACAGAAAGCTGAGGAGTGGAGCCAGATGTGGTGGCTCCTGTTTAGAATCTCAGGACTAGGGCTAAGGCAAGAGGATCACTATTTTTCAGGCCAGCCTGGACTATAGTGTGATACACTGTATCTAAAAACCCCTCTTGTAATAGTTTGAGGCCAGCCTGGGATATAGGGTGATACTTTGTATCTAAAAGTACCTCTTGTAATAATTGCTTATATTTTATATCTTCAGGTGGTCAATGCTGAAACATATCTCTATAGTCCAGACTGGTCTTGAGTTCAAAAGCAATCCTCCTGTCTCAGTCTCGTAAGAAAAAAACTAAACTGACTGCAAAGAAGACAAGAGGAGGTGGTGGGAACCCAAGGAGACACAGCCGGAAGTCAAATAGTACTTCTCCAAATGCAGTTATACATACTTAGCTAAAAATTTCAGTAACAAAATTGTAGCAGGGACTCTCTCCTCTCTATTGCTGTCTCTACTTCCTCTCCAGTTTTTCCAGACAGGGTTTCTCTGGCTGTCTTGGAACTCACTCTGAACATCAGGATGGCCTTGAACTCAGGGATCCTCCTGCCTCTGCTTCCCGAGTGCTGGGATTAAAGGTGTGTGCCACCACCGCCCGGCTGTCTTTATTCCCTGTAAAAATACATACCTTAACTCTTCGAGCAATGCTGAGAAATTGGCAGGTCTTGTCATAAAGCTCCTCCAGGTTTGCTCTGTCCCAGTAGAAGTCGGGAGTCAGCAAGAAATCTGAACTCAAATTTATACGGTGCCTTAAATAAGAAAGTGCAGTTTAGCTTTTTATTTATGGTAAATTAAAAATCAGTTTCTATTATATTCCATATTTTCATGGTACAATTTTAAGAGAACAGTTTTAAGTGCTGCACTTTGAAAAATATCTGAGAAGTGTACACACACACACACACACCCGTGTGCACCCTCTAAAGGAAAACCAGGAAGAACTTTTGTTACTTCCTGGTTTTCCCTTCCTCTCACTCTGGGCTTACTCTGGCCACCTTCAAGATCCTTCTATATCCTTTTAGTCATTGTGCAAACACAAGACAGGCAGCAATATGCAGGGTCTCTTTCTTTTCAACAGGGCTACACAGGCTAGCCTGGCTCTGGATGAGCCTTAGTCTTCAGTGAAGAATACCAAGGGGTGTGCTGCCACACTGGCACTCTTTTAGTTTCACTCATACTTTGGTATCAGAAGTTGGAGCTTACTTTAAAAATATTTAATTTAATGGAAATTCATGTTGCATAGTAAAATACAAATAGCTGTTCATTTAAGATATGTTTATTTAAGATATATGATGGAGAAGAAAGCAGAAACAGTGGTCAGCTTGTTTAACCTACCAAACACAAAACCCTTTATTCCCTAAGGATAGCACAGTCCTGTGAACACTTTGATAGCCTATTTGTACATTTCTCCACAAACATACTTGTGTGTATGTATATATCAAGATAAATGATATTTTTGCTATGCAAATGGAATAATACCATATACATAATTTGTAACTTGATTATTATTATTTTATATTTTGAGACAGGATCTCCCTGTTACGTTGGCTGACCTGGAACTTAACTGCTTCTACCTCCACGGCAATGGAATTAAAGGCATGCACCACCATATCTTGTAATTTTTTTCTTTTTTCTATTTTTTAAAGCTAGGTGTAATGGTGCACACGTTTAATCCTAGCACTTGGGAGGCAGAGACTGGTGGATCTGAATTCAAGGACAGCCTGGTCTACAGAGCAAGGTCCAAGACAGCCAGGGTTACACAGGGAAACCCTGTCTTGGAAAAAAATAAAATAAAGACAAGGTCTCATGTTAGTCTACCCTGGGCTCAATGTCCTTGACTACTTGAGAATCATGAACTTCTGATCCTTTTCATGTTTCCTGCAGTGGTGGGGATCAAAGCCAGACCGACACTATCAACTGAGCCACAGCTGTGGCCCGAACCTAACATACTTAGCTACAACTCTTTTCACAGATCACTTCTTTTTAAAAATATATTTATTATTAATTATGTGTATGTGTGTCTGCATGTGCATGCAGATATCCTTGGAGGCTGGAAGAAGGTGTCAGGTCTCCTAGGGTGGGAGGTATAGGGAAGTTGTGCCCTGTCTGATGTGGTACTGGGAATAGACTCATGTCCTCTGGGCAAGCAACAAGATTCTCAGTTACTTTCTAGTTCCTTTTTTTTTTTTTTTAGTTTTTCCGAGACGGGTTTCTCTGCATAGCCTTGGAATCTGTCCTGGATCATTTCATTCTTTAGAACAGACTAGCCTCGAATGCCTCTGCCACCGAAGTGCTGGTATTAAAGGCGTGCACCATCACTGTCTGGTGTCATATTTTTTTAAAAGAATTATTAATGTGTTTGTTTATGGACGCGCTCGTGTGTGTGTGTGTGTGTGTGTGTGTGTGTGTGTGTGTGTGCACTCACGCACACACACACGCGTGCATCTGATGGAAAGCATGTAAAGGTCAGAGGACAGCTTTGTGGATTGCCAGTCTTTGCAAACCTTTACCTGGGTTCCCAGGGTTAAGCACAGGTTGCCAGGCTTGAAGCAAGCACCTCACCAATGAGCCTCCTGCTGGCTTGTTACTTTCTTTGTAGCAACAGAATCACTTTCATTATAAAGGTTAAAACAGGATAAGGAAAGTCAGGCTTTGTAGAAACTACTCTCAAATTAAATTTATTTAGCCCTAATTTTTAATTTAGGTATTACAATCTGTTTATCAGACTCTGCTTGTATTAGCTAAAGAATATGGAAAACAATCTCCCCTACAAAGTCTGTGGCTCTACTGCGGGATGCTTGTAATGAATGATACTGAATGAGCATCCTTGCAGTGTGAGAAACACAGACAATGAAACCTTGGAGCACTCTTCTGTGGGTTGGTCTAAGCTGGTGGGAAGATACTTGTGAGGAAAACATCCACAAGGAGCTTTAGATGCTCATCCCATGTGCAAAGGAAGAAACTGGATGACATGCCCAGTGATGCAACTGCAACAGGACACATCACTCCACAAAGACAGCAAGTCACCAGTTAGGAGACAGGTTCTTCTTCACCTGTACCACTGTACAGGGTCAGACTCAGTAAACTAGGGTAAAACTTCCTGTAACAATGGTACTCAGTAAGTAAGTGTAAAATGTCATGCTCATGCTATGTGCAATGCCATTTTCCTGGGGGTCTTGTGACATATGACATGTTTCCCTTTCTTTCTTTCTTTCTTTCTTTCTTTCTTTCTTTCTTTCTTTCTTTCTTTCTTTCTTTCTTTCTTTCTTTCTTTCTTTCTTTCTTTCTTTCTTTCTTGGTTTTTTGAGACCGTTTCTCTTTGTAGCTTTGGAGCCTATCCTGGCACTCACTCTGGAGACCAGGCTGGCCTCGAACTCACAGAGATCCGCCTGCCTCTGCCTCCCGAGTGCTGGGATTAAAGGCGTTCACCACCAACGCCCAGCTGACATATGATATGTTTAATAAATGAGTTTTCCTCTTCTTTATTCATCAGGTTCCCTGACAGTCCTGACAGCCTTCCTGCTTCTAATGGGGAAGAGTTTTTCCTGCTTATAGGTAAATGTTTTCTCTTAAAGGAACTCCTTCATTTACAAGAGGACATTGTACCTGAGGGCAAAGAGCTCACCCATTTTCTGCATAACTTCTTTATGAGACAGCTTGACTTTCTTCCCAGCTTTTAATGCCTATTTGGAAGAAACAAAACAAAACAAGCCATACACAATGAGCCTGTGACTGTTGAGACTACATTTGTGACTCCAATGAACCACAGTCCTAACTCCTATCAAGAATTCAGCATTTTACACTCAGGCTTTACATGCCTTCTGCTACAGTCTGGTTCCTGAATGGCTCCCGGGGGCTGTACATCAAGGCTTCATCCTCAGCTTGTGTTAATGGAAAGTGGTTAAAACCTTTAGAGGTGGAGCCTAGTGGGAATCAGTTAGGCCACTGTTTATGTGGCCTTGAAGGGGCTACTGGGATCTTGGTCCTTCTCTCTTCTGATGCTTCCTGGTTGCCCGTGAGATGAGCAGCTTACCCCACCAGGTGCTTCTTGGCACGAGGTGCTGCCTCACCAAGGCCTAAACCAATGCACCTGCCCAGCTACAAACTGTTCTCCAAAATAACCCTTCTCTACTAAAATGTTGGTTATCCCAGGCTTGTGTTTACAATAAGAGATAGCTAATGTGTCCTTTTAGTCTTTTTGGTGAGAAACATTCCTTGTCTCTCATTTTAAAGAGGTTTGTTTTTATTTTATGTGTAAGAGTGTTTGCCTGCATGTATGTTTGTGCATCACGAGTTGGTACTGGATCTCCTGGAACTGGAGTTACAAGCAGCTGTGAGCCATCACATGGGTGCTGGGAACCAAACCCAGGTCATTTGCAAGAGCAGCCAGTGCTCTTAATCACATATCCCTCTCTGCAGCCCCCGACCTGTTCCTTATCTCCTAACTGAAAAGTGGGGCCTCTTTCCCAAGAACAATTAGTCATATTTTTCTGTTATAGTAAAAGCCTAAGACCTTGGGAATACCGGGCAATTGCATTACCACTGGGCTACACTGCTTTCCCTCCACTGAATCACACTGAAAGCACTGTCCAATCACAGCAAAGTCATTTGAAATCTTCAAGTCAAAACCCAATGTGGAGTTTCTTATCCTGACTTTAACATTTTAGGTGTAACTGAAAGTGTTTTTACTATATTTTCTGCAGCTTTTCTCGTTACCATTACTTTATACTCAAACGTGTATATTATTATGTTGAGCAATTAGTATTTTCTCCAAGAGGTCAATTCTTGTCAAAAAGCATAGAGCTGATATAATTACCTCTGGAATTGACTGAATAGACTCAATGAATTTGTCCAGCGTTGCTTCCCAAATAGCCAGTTTCACTGGGGAAAGAAGGAAGGAGGAACTTTTTTTTTTTTACTATCATGGTCACATCCACACAGAATGCATACTGGCATGGTGCCTTTGTTGCCACTTTAATAACTGTCTAAGAAGCAAATGTACAGGTGGGCATGGTGGTGCACACCTATAACCCTTACCCTAAGGAGTTAGTCTAACTTGGGCTATAAAAAATGTTTTCACTTTCTAAGTATGACCCAGACATGAGAAGAGAATGTCACATGACACTTTATTTATTCAATTAATTATTTTATTTACTTAGTTTTGTTTTTTTTTGAGACAGTTTCTCTGTGTAGCCCCAGCTGTCCTTGAACTCACTCTGTAGACCAGGCTGGCCTTGAACTCATAGAGACCTTCATGCCTCTGGCTTCCCAGTTTGGGAATTAGAAGCGTGTGCCACTGCCTCTTGGCTCAATTAATTTTTTTAGAGATTTATTTATTATGTATACATGCCTGCATGTATGCTTGCACACTAGAAAAGGGCATCAGATCTCATCACAGATGGTTATAAGCAACTGCACGGTTGTTGGGCATCTCTGGAAGAGTAGCCAGTGTTCTTAACTGCTAAGCCATCTCTCCAGCCCCTCAATTATTTTTGAGACAGGGTCTCACTATGTAGCCCCAGCTAGCCTAGAACTTGCTACGTAGATCAGGCTTGCCTTGAACTCACAGAGATCCACCTGCCTTTGCCACCTGAGTACTCAGATTCAAGTATGTGCCAGTCTGGTCCAACAATGGAATTTTAATAATTTCAATACAAAACAACAGAAAAAGCAAAGGTACTAAAACTTCAAAACAAAAGAAGCTAAAAGACAGCAGTAAAGACAGGGAGGGAGCTGGACTTCAGCTTTCTGAGACTGTTGGCAGAACACAGGTTTATCTCCTATTCCAGACTTTTACTCACATCTCAGAAAACACAGAGGTGAGGATCACACCTAGCCCCTATGGGTAGCGCTGTAGATGAGGCAGGGGTGCAACTTCCATGGCCTTTCCTATACTCCTCAGGGCTGTGAGCAAAGCACAGTAACCCCAGAGGCTTCCTACAGGGGATACGCTGGCCCTGCAGGCTGATGCAGAGCAAGATAAGAAACCCTTACGGAGTACCTCTAGTTTGCCAGGGGCCATGATCTCAGCCCTGTGACTTGCTCCTAGTCACACAGGGCTGGGCTATCACTGGATTAGAGGTTACTGAGTATAACAGTCATGGAGAAGGGAGAACAAAGGAGTGCCAGTAATATGATACACATTTCAGAGAAGTGAAGCTTTATCAACACAATTAACAAGGAATGAACCAGTGGACAATATATTTTATACATTTTTTTAAGAGAAAAAGGAATTATTAAGGCTGTATTGAATGTTGTGAAAACACCACGAAATCATTACCTAACTTCCTCCTTCTGCCTGTTTTTTTTTTTTTTTTTCTCGAGACAGGGTTTCTCTGTCTAACTCTGGCTGTCCTGGAACTTACTCTGCAGACTAGGCTGGCCTTGAACTCAGGTCTGCCTGCCTCTGCCGAGTACTGGGATTAAAGGCGTGTGCCACCACCACCTGACTCTCATTACTCAAGTGTAATATATCATCTGCACAAAGCAGAATAACTTACCTGAGAGGCAGAGAGCATTGGAGAAAGCAAATTTTTCTAGTATAGCGTCATCTAAGTCCAGCTCTGAGTTTAACTTGATTTCCCCTCTGTGCAGTTTAGATTGTCCCCTGTGAAAATAAGTGGAAAGGGCAAGTGTCTTTTGAATCTTAAAAGCAGCTGCACTTCTGAAAATCTCGACTGTCTCCTTAGAAGCCACTCGACAACTGATGACATGTTGTAAATGTCCCCCTACCCTTTGATTGGAGTAATTCCATTCTTAGGAATGAACCTACAAAAATAATCAGGAAAACTTGTGTACCATGAACATTTTTACTGTATTTTGGAGACACAGTGTCACACTGTAGCCTAGGATAGCTCAAACTCATGGCAATTCTCCAGTCTTAGCTCCTAAATGCTGGGATTACAGGTCTAAGCTACCATACCTAGTCAATAAACTGTTGTTGACCTACCATGTGGGTGCTGGGAACTGAACCAGGTCCTCTGCAAGAGCCACAAGTGCTCTTAACCACCAAGCCATCTCTCCAGCCCCACAAGTAGACTTTTTATTGTCAAATGTTCACTACTAAAACGTCAGGAAAAAAAAAAAGACTCAATAGAAAGATATACTAGATTAGTAATTCTGCAGAACAAAAGGGCTAGCTAGACCTGATGGCCTGAGCCTGTAGTCACACAGCATGGAGGAGCTAGGGAGGGTCTGAAACCACAGTAAGAAAGCAGCTGCCTGCCTGCACTTCCTCACCTGAGGATGCCTGTGAGGCCCTCACACCTCTCCTGGGTCACTGCCTCATATTCTGTCATATTCAAATTCAACTGAAAAAAAAAAAAAAACCACACACACACACACACACACAAAAAAAAAACAAAAAACAAAAAACAAAAAAGAGAAACCCATGGATTTACTTAGAAGTAAACCCTTCCTGGAAATATCTGCTACACTCATCCTGTCCTCATTAATTTTAGGTTGAGAACGTGAGAATTTAAATACAGATCCTGTTCTTTGGTGTGGGCGCTGGCTGTGACCAGTAACTTAAGAACCTCCATACACTCACAGTGATCTCCTCTAAGCTTCCCCGCTCTCCCCCTCCCCCTTCACGCATGCGTTGAGATATGCTTACTCTATTTTCATGTAGTTCAGCTCTTCGTTCTCCCAGTAAACCAGAGCCACTTCATAGGGCTGGGTTTCGTGTCTCTCCAGAACTTGCATCACGTGCTTCACCTGGGAGATGACAGTTACACTGATTTTCTACAAGCCACATGGGTTCATCTGCTCATGACAGCTTTCGTAACTTTAGCAGCATGTTTTCTGAGTCAGTGTTTAAGGAAAAGGCAAGCTCACCATGACAGTAAACTAACCAAATGGCATGTTCATTTATTGGGACATTTGGAAAGTACAGATGAACATAAAAAAAGAAATAAAAATTACCATTATCCAGTATCCAAGGAAAATTATAATCTTTCTCACTAACATTATTTTATTTATTTATTTATTTATTTATTTATTTATTTATTTATTGGTTTTTCGAGACAGGGTTTCTCTGTGTAGCTTGGAGCCTATCCTGGCACTCACTCTGGAGACCAGGCTGGCCTCGAACTCACAGAGATCCTCCTGCCTCTGCCTCCCAAGTGCTGGGATTAAAGGCATGCGCCACCAACGCCCGGCCTAACTAACATTATAATTGGTATTTGCTAGGTCTCTAAAAACTTGTACAGGCAAATGACATGTAAAAATTAAAGCAGCAGAGGCTGGAGAGGTGGCTCAGAGGTTAAGAGCATTTGTTGCAGAGAACCTGGGTTCAGCTCTCAGCACCCACAATGTGGCTCACAACAGCCTGCTAATCCAGTTCCAGGAGATCTGATGCCCTCTTCTGACTCCTTTAGGTACACAGCACCCACATGGTGCATATGCACACATGCAGGCAAAATATTCAACCACATAAGATAAATTTTTAAAAAGCTAAAGCTTTGTAGCTATCATCAAACCTGTGTCTGCAGAGCTAAGAACAGATCCCATGTGTGCCTACATGTTTTCTGTGAGTATATGTGTCGTTTATTTATTTATTTATTTTTTTATGTGAATGGGATTATACTCTACATGTGCACACCTGCACTGCTAATCTTCTTAAAGGACAATGAATATTTATACACCTGAGTGTCCACCCTTGGGGGCGATTTCCACTCTCTACCATCTCAGGGCATCATCCTATTGCTCTATCTTCCTGCCGTGAGCTATTTATTGAAGAACTGCTAAGAGCTATGGCTCCGCTCTATGGCGGAGGCCTAGCATGCTGGAAGCCTGACTATTGCCAGCCCTGAAAAGAAGGGGAAGGGGAGACAGACATGCATGCCTAGAATCCTTCTAAGTGTTCCAAACTGCTCTCCAAAATAGCTTGTCCTTTTAGGATCTAAATATTCATGAGTGCTCATAAAAGCAAGGCCTGTTATCAGCCTTTTCTGTCTTTACAACAGCAGACAGCCACTTTGGTACATTTACTTTGTTCTCCCCACCCTCCGCCACTACAGTGTGTATATCTCCTTCTTTTCAGTGAACCCTCAAACACACAGAAGGATATACTCTGAGATATTCACTGTTACCTCTGTGGAGTAGGATTTCTGGTGAGCAGAGTTTGAGCAGGCTTTTTTTTTTTTTTTTTTTTTTTTTTTTTAAAGACATGGTTTGTTTCATGTAACTAAGAGACTGGCCTCAAATTGCCCATCCTTCAGTCAGTCTCCACTTCCCAAGTATTGCGATTATAAGCATGGGTCACTGTGCCCCGAGTTTTCTTTTCTCTTTTGTTTTTGGAGGCAGGTTTTGTAATTCAGTCTCTATCTCACAATCCTCCTGCCTCCACCTCATGAATTCTGGGATGACAGGCATGTACATGACTTACAGTGTACTTTACCAAGCACCAATAGCATACTGATTGTGGTTATAAGCTATTGTTTTAATTCAACTGTATCACGTGTAGAAAATTTAAAAATCATTATGTTTTGGAAGATGAAAGAGATAGCATAAATACTGTGTGTCCCACAGAAAAGCAAATCTGGATTACGGTATGTCCTCCCCTCCAGGATTCAGACTGCTGAGTACGAGTGACAATATTCTTAGAAAACCAGACTTCTACATGCATATGCTTTACTGTACTCACAGTTTTGTCTCTTACGTTCCAGAACACAGTAGCTCCTTCCCTGATTCAAATAATAGGAGAGTCAACCTCGGCAAAAGGAGAATACATTCTTTTTAGATTTATTATTTTATTTTGCCCCCATGTATGTATGCACCGTGTGAGTGTCTGGTGCCCACAGAGCTCACATGAGAGTGGCAGATTCCCTGGACCTGGAGTTACAGCACCAATACATGTGCTGGACATTGAACCTGGGTCCTCTGCAAGAACAGCAAGTGCTTTTAACTGCTGCGCCATTTCTCTAGCCCCTGAGAAAATGTTTCTTCAGAGACATACCGAAAGCCAAGTTTAGGTAGTATCTAGAACAGTGGTTCTCGGCCTTCCTAATGCTGCGACCCCTTGGGATAGTTCCTCATGTGACGATCCCCACAACTGTAACATTATTTTCACTTGCTACTTCATAACTAATTGTACTACTGTTATGAGTCATAATGTAAATCTGTATTTTCTGATGTCTTAGGTGACCCCTGTGAAAGGGTTGACCTAAGGGGGTTGAGACCCACGTGTTGAGAACCACTGCTCTAGAACACAATGAGAATGAATGTATATTTGGTTGATTAGTAAGACTGGCTTGCTTTAGTATCTGGAACTACAGACAGGAGCCACTGTGTGTGACAGTTTAGCCTTTTTATTGTTTCACTCTGCAGCCCAGGTTGGTCTCAAAGTCACAGTGATCCTCCTGTCTTAGTCTCCAGGCTGCTGGGATTACGGGTGTGAATCAACATATCCGGCTTAGCTCATATTCTTTTGGATGTCCATCTCTCTGTTTTGCTACTTACTTGTCCCCAGACTATGGGCTATTCCCCAAATGCATCTGACCCTTCCTTTTCTTGGTTGTAAAATGGGACAGCAGGTATTATTTCACAAGGTTGCTACTGCCACTGTCTTGTCATTCCAATCTTTAAAAGGATAAGACTATGTGAATGAGGTTCTCTCTCTCAGGTATGTGGAATGGCCAAGGCAGACTAAAATCCCAGTTGAAAGGCTACAGAAGGCGAGGGAAGGACAGCAGGTGTGGAGTCTCATAAGGACAGTGACAAGGCAGCTTTGCCCTCCATTTGTGCATTCAGTGAAAGACACATCAGGCAATGATGATTTACTCGTATCAAAAAATTTCATTTTAGTTGGGCAGTGGTGGTTCATGCCCTTAATCCCAGCACTTGGGAAGCAGAGGCAGGAGGATCTCTGTGAGTTCAAGGTAGTGTGTTTTACAGAGCAAGTTCCCAGACAGCCAGAGAAACCCTGTCTTGGAATTTTTTTTTTTTAAATTTTATAAGTTGATCTACCAGGGGCTGGAGAGAGAGTTCCATAGTTAAGAGAATTTATTGCTCTTCCAGAGGACCCACGTTCAATCCCAGCACTTATATGTCAACTTACAACTTACAACTTGTAAGTTGACATACAACCATCTGTAACTCCAGTACCAGGGGATCCAATACCCTCTTCTGGCTTCCTCAGGCAAGCATGCATACAGTATTCAGATACACACGTAGGCAAAAAACTCATACACATTAAATAAGTGCATATTTAGAAAAGGATGACCTAGATTCATAACCCTGACAAACTCCCCAAGATGAAGTCAGAGTCAGATGACAGATTCAAACTCCAGATGCATAGGAGGATCCCAGGAGAGGCACGCCCACCCTAGAGGCTCCAGTTATCTGGGTGCAGCCATCTTCCCAAAGCCACGTCCATCCTGTCTTACCTGAACAAGAATATCATTCCAGGATCACCTTCTTTTGCAGTGTTCTCCACACCCATCACCAAAACATTGGCTGCATCTGTAATATAAAACGCAGTAAAGGCTGTGTCCAGAGGTGACATAAACTGCTGAGAGTAGCCTGTACATGTTTTTATCTGTTCATGCTCCACAGCACAATTTCCTACTGAAGACTGAAGAAGGGTTTTAAGATGTGAAAATAGGCTGGCGGTGGTGGTACACACCTTTGATCCCAGTCTTGGAAGGCAGAGGCAGGCAGATCTCTGAGTTTGAGGCCAGCCTGGTTTAGAGCTAGTTCCAGGGCTACACAGAGAAACCCTGTCTTGGGCTGGAGACATGGCTCAGAGGTTAAGAGCAATGACTGCTCTTCCTGAGTTCAATTCCCAGCAACCACATGGTGGCTCACAACCATCCGTTATGAGATCTGGTGCCCTCTTCTGGTGTGCAGATACATGGAAGCAGAATGTTGTATATATAATAAATAAATAAAATCTTTAAACAAACAAACAAACAAAAAACCCTGTCTTGAAAAACCAAACCAAAACCAAAACAAACCAAAAAAACCTCCCCCCAACCTACCAAAACCAAAATAGGGGCTGGAGAGACTACTCAGTGGCTGAGTGTTTGCTCTTCTTGCAAAGGACCCACGATCTTTTCCCAAACCCATGTTTGGTGGCTCACAACCACCTGTAACTCCAGCTCTAGGTGTTCATAACTCCTCTTCTGGCACACACATGTGCATGCACACAGAGACATATATACAAATGTATGTATGTATGTATGTATGTATGTATGTATATATGTATGTATGTATAGCTAGAGAGATGGCTCAGAGGTTAAGAGCACAGCTGTTCTTCCAGAGGACCCGGGGTCAATTCTGAGCACTGACACAGTGGCTTACAAGCATCTATAACCTCAGTTTCAGGGGATCCAATACCCTCTCTGGACTCTGCAGGTACCAGGCATGAACATGATGTACAGACATACATACAAGCAAAACACCCATACAAATAATAGACATTTTTTAAAAAGAAAAACAAAGTCTTAAAAAATGAAAGGAAGTTAAGAAATTATATCCCTAGAAAACTCTACAACCTATAATGTTAGCAATGTTATCTGCTCATTCACACTGGTTTTTGATTCAGTAACTAGTAGTCCAGTTAGTAAATATTACAATTTTAGGTTCACTACAACTATGTCAGGAATTAAATGTCTTTCTACAAAATTAATTTAAAACTATATATATATACATATATACATATATACATATATACATATATACATATATACATATATACATATATATATAGTTAACATGTTATTTCTTCAAATTCTCTTAAAATTCTTAAAAAAAAAAAAAAAGTAGTGTTCTGCCTACATGTATACCCACACACCTGAAGAGGGCACCAGATCTCATTATGGATGATTGTGAGCCACCATGTGGTTGCTGGGAATTGAGCCTGGGTCCTCTGAAGAGCAGCCAGCGCTCTTCACCTCTGAGCCATTTCTCCAGTCCCTGAATATCTTCTATAATGTAAATTATAGACAATATATCCCAATTAAGACATTGTTACTAATTTGTAGTTATGTACAATTTCTTCTTTTAATTTTTATGTGTTTGAGGCCATGGTTAGCCATAACCCAGCATGGCTTCCCACTTGTGATCTTCCTCAGCCTCTCAAGGTTTGACATTACATGAACAAGTCTCCTCACCTAGTTTTTAATATCGGTATTCTCAAAGCTTCAGGGTTCCTGGTAGGATTTTGGCAGCAACAAAAATTCTAAACAATAATTTGGAGCCCACTCCCAAGTCCCCTGAGTACTTTATACTAACAGGACAGTTAACCTATGTACCCCAGAGTACAGTAAAGAAAATGAAAAGACAAAAACCACACTGGGCGCAGTCTTTAGTGGCAGCCATAGCTGCCCTGACCAATTATTTTTACCACAGGGATTTTGGACAGAGCTCTGTTCTTTTGCTTTGTTTTTTCGAGATAGGATTTCTCTGTGTAGTTCTGGCTGTCCTGGAACTCACTCTGTAGATCAGGCTGGCCTTGAACTCACAGAGATCCGATTGCCTCTGCCTCCTGAGTGCTGGGACTAAAGGTGTGTGCTACCACTGCCCATTGAGCTTTGTTCTTCTAAGGCAACTTTTGTCATCAAATCCAGTCTGCTCATAAAATAAACAATGAAAACTGCACAACATTTCAACCCCTTAGGAGACCAGTGAGTGTTTTGTTTTGTTTTGTTTTGTTTTGTTTTTGTGTATGGTCTCTATGTAGCCTTGGCCATCCAGGAACTCACTATGTAGACCCTGGCCTTAAACTCCTAGAGACCTGACTCCTCTGCCTTGACTTTAGGATTAAAGATGTGCACCACCATACCCGCCTGGGACCAGTTGAATCTTTGAGTCATTCACAGTTTTCCTAAAACACGAAGTTAGTTTTCTTTCTTATATTTATATGTTTAACTTTTGCTTTAATTTTGTTAATTTAAAAGTATTAGACTAATAATTTCTTTTAAAGCCTCTCCCAGGTCCCGTCAATATCGTGGTTTTTTAAAAATCTTAAAAAAATTTTTTTAATCAATTATTATCACTATTATTTGTGAGGTGTGTGTGCGTGCACACAAAAAAATATTTTTTCCCCCATGACAGTTTCTCTGTGCATCCCTGGCTGTCCTTGACTTGTACTGCAGAGCAGGCTGTCCTTCAACTCAGAGATCTGTCTATCCCACCACCACTGGCTACAACAGCTTTTGGATATGCCAGGATAGCAGCAGTATGGCCGTGTGTTAAAGGATTGGCTCTAGCTCACCATACTGTGAGGTGCTGCAGCTTTTAGGAGGGAGACCTACTGGAAGGAACACAGGTCACTGGATGCGCACTCTGAAAAGGATCCTCATCATAGAGTGGGGCAGCTTCCCCAGGACATGTGCCTCAACGCAGACCCCCAAACAACAGTAAGTGACCGTGGATGGGATCGAATGGGAGCTAACATCAGCCTTTCCAGTTTAGCTTTAAATTCACCACAGGTATTTACTATAGCAACAGGAAGCTAACACACATATGCTCTCTTCTCAAATGACAGGATGCAATGGAAAATGGAATTGGAACAAATGTACACTTGAAACACCATCACAGGAGTCATTTTCTAACACGTAGCATGCTTGGCCCTGGCTGAGGGCAGTAGTACCTCTAGGCAGGCTTGTCACTTCCACATATCCACAGGAGACCAGCTCTTGAGACAGACTTCCCAGGTGATACTCATCTGCAGTTGCAAATGCTGTGCACTGCATCAGGTCCTGTTTAGGAGATGAACATAGGACTAAGGTTAGCAAAGGGTTCAAGCTACTGCAATGGTACCTGGACTCCGCTAGGGAACTCTACCCTGCAAAACCAGTGTTTGAGAGTGTGCTTCGGGACCTCAGTGGTGCACAGGAGTTCAGTGACGACAAAGAGGAATGAGTTACAAAGAGACAAATCTCCACTCAAGGTAGAAAAGATTGAGCTAGTCAAAAAAGACAGGGCAACCCTGAAAGTGAAGCCACACACACCAGTGATCGGACCAAACACAGACTGAACAGCATCATAGGGAAGCCCGACTGGAAGGCATTTCAAGTTTCCAGCGCTGAGAATCTGTGGTTCTTCCACATCAGCATTGGCAGCCAATGTCGTTTTACTGTCATTAGCCCTTCATGGGCAGAGATGTTTCAATCCACAAAAGATCCAGTATTTCATCGGTATACAGTAAAGTGGTTGGCATATCTGAGGATATGCTCTGGTTTGCAGTACAACATAGCATGGTACCACTCAGTCACACTGTGTGTCTAGCATACACAAGTGCTCAGTACCTTTTCAGATAGCAAGGGGCACGACAGCAACCCATTCGGATGTTCTATCAATTTAGTTGGCTCAAACCAGCTTTTTACATTTATGATTAACTTATGTGTATGTGTGTGTGCCTACGTTTTTTTTTTTTTTTTTTTTTGTGTACCATGTTTGTGCAGGTCCCTATGATCACCTGGGGCTGTAGTCATAGGTAGTTATGAGCCACTTGATATAGATGCTGGGAATTGAACTTTGGTCCCTTGCTATAGCCAAGAGATACCGAGACATCTCTCCAGCACCCAAACCAGCTTTTCAGATAAATGAGGTGAGGATGGGTATGCCTACCATGTACTGTGGTTTGATCCCCAGCGCCGCAAAACAAATCCATCAGTAAATAGTACAAAACATTACTCCTAAGGACAAATGTTACACAGCTTTCTGGCACACACAAGTGAAGCCTAGGCCCGGCATTCATAACTAAGAATAAGCCTCCTTGTGTACTTATTTGGGAGCTGGGTGGTGGGCCCCTCAAAAAGGCCAGAGAGTAAAAAGAGTAAACCTTCGAACTACACTCCTCTCAGTGAGACCTGCAGCATTTCCCGAAGCCTGCTGGGCAGAATCAGAGCAGCAGGGCGGGTATGTAAACGATTTCTGATACTGCAGCTGATGGCAGGCTTGGTTTGGGCTGCAGTGGAACAGCAGAGGCATAGAATGGAGACTGGCATAAAGGAGAAAAACCAGGAGAGGTTGGGCCTGTGGCTGCCCTGCTTAGGAGAAAGCAGGTCAGTTTCTAGAGCTGACTGGAAACTCAACAAGCACACGGCCATGTGCTGACTCAAGTTTAGTGTATCCTTCATATTCATTCATTCATTCATTCATTCATTCATTGAGACAGGATCTCTCTATGTAGCCCTGGCAGTCATGGAACTCTATGTAGATCAGGCTGGCCCCAAACTCCAAGATCTTCCTGCCTCTACTTCTTGAGTGCAGGGAGCTAAAGGTGTGCACCACTACCCTGTATCTATTTATTTTTCTTTCTTTTCTTTTTGTTTTTGAGACAGGGTTTCTCTGTGTAACAGCTATGGCTGTCCTGAAACTTGCTTAGTAGATCAGGCTGGCCTCAAATTCACAGAGATCCACCTGCTTCTGCCTCGGGAGTGCTGGGATTACAGGTGTGTGTTACCATCACCTGGCATTACCTCAGGAGCTTTATAGTCTCTGATAATCTTGTTTTGGTATTGTTCCACTTAAGCTCATTTAGAAAGGAGCAAGAGATCCAGGAAGTAGGCTTTGTGTTTTTGGTTTTTGGCCTATTAATGGAAACACTACTTTGTAAGTAGCTTTCACTTTCATAGTGTTTTCTAGTTTTTTATAGCTTATCTTTATTTTAAAGTGCTAATTAAATTTACATATGTTGAAGCATATTTCAGGTTTGGGGAAGGGAACTTGTTCCTAAACAGGTGACCAAAGCAGCTTAGAACAGTTATTGGATTAGGCCTCACACGTACACCTATCTTAAAATGTAAAACAAAACAAGAAAGACAAACCCAGTCTATTTAAATACACGGTTTGCTTCTTTGGCTATGGACGACCCACGGTCCAGCAGATGGAGCTAGTGATCTAGGCGACTCCTGTTTGGAGAACATCACTCTCCAAGCTGGATCAGGGTGCAAAGCGGCATTCTATCTTACTGATACTGGGACAAAAGAAACTTACATTTGGCCTTCTGTCCTTAGCTCCTAGTACAGCTGGAGTCAGTGTAACTCCCTATCGATATGGACACTGGAGCATCACTTGGGTCTCTGCCTTCTCGATCCTGGCACACAGCCTATATCCCCTAGAATTTTTAGCGTGAAAGGAATGCTGTTTATTCTACCGAGGTAACTCTTGGGCTGTGGGTGAGTCCATGAAAGGGCCTGGGTGCTGGGAATACAAAGTCTGACTCAAAGCTTGTAACCTTCAGTTCCACCTTCTCTCTGGAGGTAAGGAAAGAAGGCTGGAGGGTAAGTTAACCCGCAGCCCACCCCAAGGCTCTGGGAGGGCCCTTTCTGCAAACTCTTCCAAATGTTACCGTCTGGTTAGAGGCAGCACAAGGAGTGGAACCAAACTAGGAAACAAAATACAAGCCATTCCTGAAGTCCTTCCACTGCCTAATGACCAGGCATGTACACCCTTGCTTGGCATGGCTTTTCTTTTCCTTTTAGAGACAAGGTCTTGCCATTTAGCCTTGGCTGGGTGGTGTTGTAATTTAAAAAAAAAAAAAAAAAAAAAAAAAAAAAAAGTGGCTAGTGTTCAAGCAGAGGGTTTTTTTTAATTGGGGGAAAAGGATTATAAAAGGGGTAAACGGGAGGGGGGAGACCGGTCTCCGGGGACAGGAGCAAGAGGAGAAAGAGAGGAACAGACAGACAGGGAGAGAAGGGAAGGAGGAGGATGGGAGGTGGGCAGGGCCCTTTTAAAAGGGAACATAGTGCATGTGCACAGGTGGTGCTCTTAGTGGAAGCAGCAGAGGACGTGTCCTGTCAGAACTCCAAAGGTAGGTCAGTACAAATGCCTAAATACTAACAGGAGGGAGCCTGCTACATACATGCCAGGCTGGCCTTGAACTCAGAGATCTGTCTGCCTTAGACTACTGAGTGCTGGGATTAAAGACATGGCCTCAGATTGCACTTTTGTTTTCCTTTTGAAACTGGGTTTCACTATATATCCTAGGCTGGACTCAAATTTGATCCTACTGTCTCAGCCTGAGCCTCCGGGTGCTACCATGCCTGAAAAAGTTAACCTTTTCAAAATCTATCAGCAGTGCAGTAAAAACAAACCCCATTTAAAGTAAACACTCAGGGCCACCCTCTCAAGTTTGAAGACAGACATTCTGACTGTTTTGGTAGACTCAGGAGACCCAACCAAGGCTTAGACATATACATTCTTTTCTTTGCAAACAGAATATTGCTAAACCATCCAGGTTGGCCTGATTCCTAGGCTAGGATGATCCAGCTGTTTTAGTCTCCTCAGCTGGGTCTACTATGGGTATGTGCACCACCATGCACAACCCTACGGACATCAAAGGCATGGCTTAAATATCATTCAAGATACAAAGTTAACAAAGGCCTTGACTCTGACCCTAAACTATCTAAAGCTTGGAGGACAAATGCAAACTGCATCTAAAAAAAAAAAAAAAAAAAAAAAAAATTCCCAAAAACCCCTTAGGAGTGAATAAAAATCAAAATAGTAGTGAATAAAAATCAAAACAAAAAACAAAAGAAAAAAGAAAAAAACCAAAAAAACCAAAACAAAACAACAAAAGCCTTGAACTTCCAGAGGGTCAAACAGCAAAGCCTCTCACTGCTTCCGTTTGGCCTTGAGGTGTCATTTCTTCAACCTTGTGCAGTCACCACAGGCTAGTAAGAAACACCTGCTGGCTGGAAGATCTTTTTAATTTCCCTATGCATTTCTGGTTCAATTCTTAAAACAAAACAAAAACAAACAAACAAACAAAAACACAGGCAGCAGCAACAACAAAACCATACTGCATCCCTGGATGGACTGGACAGAAGCTTCTTTTTTAGTTCTCTCTGAACTAACTAACCCCTTTCAACCATGACTGAGGCCTTTTAGTGCCACACTTGATATGGGCAACTAACTCTAACAAGTTAAGCTTTTCGTTGGTGTGGCTATGTTAGGCTTCAAAGGTCTTGTACAGAATTCTAAGCTGGTTGCCCAGTTCTCCTATGTTCTCCTATGGTGCAACACACACTGGTTCAGAGGGCACACAAGGGCGGATGCACTCAAGGGCCACAGAACTACTGGCTTTACCTCATTCACAGACAGCTCTGGAAGGTTGGTCCTGGAGGGCTGGCGGGTCCTGGATGCCTTCAGGGGCCTCTTGATCTGTGGAAGGTCTTGTTTTGGGACAAGTGTTTCAGTGGATACAGAATGATGCCTTTTTACTGTTTTTATAAACCACTTAGCACATAAGAGATTTGGTTTGTGGGCCACTTTCCTGGGAGTCCCAAAGGGGTGCATGGTTGGCAGGCAAGCTTTTCCATCCCAACAGTGGACAGCGTTTAATGAAAAGGGTCTGCTTTCATTTGATATTATCCGGCTCATTTCCAGGATCTTTGGATTATTCAAGCTGTCAGCTGTTATTTGAGGAAAGAATGAGTCTAAACATTGCTGTATTTTCAGGCTCTTTCGGCATGCTGTACTTTCAGATTCCGTAAGTGGCTTTAGTGGAAGCCGAGCAAGTCTCTTGCATTGGTATGCCTTTAATGATGCACTCGATAAAGAGGCCAGGGTTTGGAGAAGCCTGGCTGGCATGACCACATCTCAGGCTGAAATCAAAAGAATTAAAAAGTCAGACGGGGTTTTAAAAATGTTTAGAATACATATATATTTCCTTAGGAAACACATATTGTGTTAAAAGTTTGTACAATGGGGCTGGAGCAACGGCTTAGCAGTTAAAAACATGTTTTTGTTTTAATGATTTATTTTTATGTGCACTGGTATTTTTACCTGCATGTGTTTTTAACCTCAGAGACATCTCGCCAGCCCTGAACACATGTTCTTTTCTGAGACAGAGTCTCACAACATGAGTCCTGGCTGGCCTGGAGCTCACTATGTAGATCAGACTGGCCTTAGAGGCTTAAAGATCTGGCCTCTGCCTCCTGACTGCTAGGACTAAAGTCTTATGCCACCTTACATCAGGTCCAGCACTTGGTTTTGTAAAAGACACAGGTTCAATTTTCAGCACCTTATATGGTGGCTGACCACTGTCTATTTTGCCCTCTTCTGACATGTATGAGGTGTACAAACATACATGCCAGCAGCAAAACATACATAAAAATTATAAAACAGAAGTATAACCTAACCCCATGTATACGTCTAAGGCCATACTTTGGTGGTAGAGTACTTATTTAGGATAAGCAAAGCCCTGGTTTACTCAGTCATGCAACTCTCTCTCTCTCTATCTCTCTCTCTCTCTCTTACTTTGTTTCCATTTAGTCTTAGTTGGCCCTTTTCTGGAAGATTATAAAGTTATAAATGCACTATCAGTAACAAAAATGTGAAAAGAGAAAAGGGGATGGAACCGTTTCACCATCATTTTGTAATATCAAACACTTAAAAACAGCTGGGTGTGATAGTGCATGTCTATAGTACCAGTACTTGGGAAGCAGAGGCAGGTGAGTTCAAGGTTAGCCTGTTCTACATAGTTCCAAGCCAGTCAGAGATACATATGGAGATCCTTTCTTAAAAACAAAACCAACTAAAGAAACACAAACCCCAAACAAAACCAACACAAACACACACACACACACACACACACACACACACACACACACTGTACTTACACATTCCTTTATTCAACATTTATAATCCAAACGTCAATTAGTTGGGAAGCAGAGGCAGGTTAATCTCTATGAGTTCGAGGCCAGCGTGGTCTACAGAGTGCGTTCCAGAGCAGCCAGGGCTGTTACACAGAGAAGAAACCTTGTCTAGAAAAACCAAAAACCAAACCAACCAAAAAAAAAAAAAAAAAAAAAAAAAAAAAAAAAAAAAAAAAAAAAAAAAAAAACAAAATTTGCTTTGAAAACAACTAGCCGAGGTCATAGGTGCATCAAAGGCCAAGTACCCCTACTGTCACACTCTAGCCTTTGGAGAAGGCAGGCATTGTTTTCCTTTTCATCACAATGTCACAGAAAAGCCCAAACCACAGAGCTGAGTACAAGACACTGAGCAAACAGCAAGAGCTCACTCAGTTCTACAGGAAAGGCTCCCAGAAAAACTGAAATGTCTTCCATCTTTTAAACAGGTGCTATTCAGCTGGGGCTGGGCTTAAGGAGTGGGGGCAGGCATGTTAGACAGGCAGGAACACACACAGCCTAAAGGAAATAGGCTGGTATGTGAGATTTCCATCTCCTTACATTATAAAATAGCACATTCTTCTAAAAGCAAACATACAATAAGTGATGATCACAATTCTTAAACATTAGGTGCCAAAAACAAAGACAAAGTCAGCCAAAGAGACAGATTTTTTTTTAAAAAAACAGATTTATTTATTCATTATGTATAGTGTTCTGGCTGCATGTAAGCATGCAGACCAGAAGAGGGCACCAGATCTCATCACTGCAGATGGTTGTGAGCCACCATGTGGTTGCTGGGAATCGAACCTGGGTCCTCTGGAAGAGCAGCCAGTGCTCTTAACCTCTGAGCCATCTCTCCAGCCCCCTGGGACAGAGTCTGATGTACAAAATGCTATGTAGTCTTGAAAAGGGAGGACCTGGGGTGAAGAGTGTGATGTAGTCAGATGTGACATTTGCAATGATTCACTAAAGGACAGAGAACTCAGCAGAGCAAACAGCCAGGGACACAGTATTATTTATCTAACAAACAACTTCAGCTGAGAAGTGAGTTGCCAGAGATGAGGAAAAAGTGGCCAGACACTAAAAGACACATTAAAAATGGTCCTACAGGCTGGGCAATGGTGGCGTACACCTTTAATCCCAGAATTTGGGAGGCAGAGGCAGGTGGATCTATGTGAGTTCGAGACTAGCCTGGTCTACAAGACCCTCTATGGCCTCCAAAGCCACAGAGAAACCCTGTCTCAAAAAACCAAAAACCAAACCAAACCAAAAGGTCCTACAGGTTGGGAAGCCAGGGCTGTGGAATAACAGAATCACCTGGTTAGGTGTGTGCTTCAGAAACATGTCTCTGCTAATAATGTGAAGGAAGAACCGAGAAAATCTCAGACATGACATTCCAGTACCTTCTGCATTCTAAATGCCCTATTTTACCTCACAATCGCTCAGGGAGACATTTCCCAGATTGGTAAACTGAAGTCTAGAGGCTAAATGAAGTTGCTCAGGGATGAGAGATGGCTCAGTGGATCAACTTGCCCGCTGTTAAGCCTGTTGGCCCAAGTTCAATGCCCAAACCCCACAGAGTAAGAGATAATTGGTTCCTCCAGGGTTGCCTCTGACTGACCCCCACATGCTGTGTCATGTGTCTGTGAACTCCCCCCACCATCTCCAAATGAAAACAAAGTCACCCAGGCTTCCCTTATTTCAAGGACTAGATCCTTTCCACTATCTAGCTACCTAGAAAACCCCTGTAACATATAACCCCTGTAAGAACAGGTTATTTGTCATTAAAGCTAATTTTACCCATGTCTTTCTTTTATCAATGCAGACTCTAGAAAGCTTAAGATCTCCCTGGCGTGGCCAGGCGCTGGTGGCGCACGCCTTTAATCCCAGCACTCGGGAGGCAGAGGCAGGCAATCTCTGTGAGTTCGAGGCCAGCCTGGTCTCCAGAGTGAGTGCCAAGATAGGCTCCAAAGCTACACAGAGAAACCCTGTCTCAAAAAAAACAAACAAAACAACAACAACAAAAATACATCCCCGGCGTGTTCTCTAAGTGTGGCCCATGTTCCTGATTTTACACCCATCACTCCCCAGACACTGCCTTCCATCTTTCCAGTCCATTCCTTCCACTACTCAAAGCCAACGATTCCTCAGCAGGACCTAAACTTTCAGTCTCCTCCGCCACACTTACACTTCCTTCCCATGCAGCTAATGCCCCAGGCCTACTCTTACAATCCCTCCCTCTTTTATATATGACAACCTCAATCCTAACTGAATGCGACTTCCCTAACTGAATTGCGTCCACACTCTTGCAGCTCACAGTGATGAGACAGCCAACTAGCCATTCATTCCCATCTCACTCCCTAGCCAGGGTCACTCTCTTCCGGTGGGTCTTCACTGTTGCTCAGGACCACATCCCTGCTATATCCTACCTTCTCCTCGATTCCTCAAGTCTCCTCCTGGTTTCTCACTCTCAATGATGACCTTCTTCCTCTCTCTAACAGAAATCCAAAGTTCTACAAGATGAACCCTCCGCCATCATCAGTCTGCAACCCATTATCAATCCACCCACTGTTAACAATTTTATTACTTTGGGCGCAAGTGTTGCCTGCATGTATCTGTGAATTATGTGCATGTGTGGAGCCCACGGAGGATAGGAGGAGGGCATCAGATCCCCGGGAACTCATTCCCTACTTCTTGAAGCACCTTTTTGTTTGGCTTCTAGAATATCAATCACATTGGTGGATTTCCTCCTGCTGGTCCCTCACTCAGTCAAGAATGCCAAATATCAGAACTCAGTCTCTAGGCCACTTCTCTTCTCAGTCTCTTGGCAATGTTGGCCCACCCCTTGGTTTTACACACCATCACTGGTGAGTAGCATATATTTACCTCTAAATCACTCCAAGCACCAAAAATACAACATACTCAAAACTCAACATCTGAATTCTTCCACAAAACCATTCTAACCACACCCTTCCCCATTCAAGTGCCAATCATATCCTCATAGCTGCTAAGCCCTAAACCTGGAGTTTCCTTCTTTCTCTTCAGTCCTCATATTCAATCTGTCAGTAAATCCCACTGGCCTTTTCTGACTAGTACTCCGCACAAATTCTACCATCTGGCCCAAGTTTCTGACTTTCCCACCGATCATTACAATAGCCCTTTACCTGACAGCTGACTTGTGCATGGCTAGATTAAGAATCACCATGGAGACACACCCTTGTTTTTGTCTGTGACAAACTTTGTAGAGTAGTTTAACAGAGGCAAGAAGGCCCACTTGAAGTGTAGATAGTACTACGCCATGGGCACAGTAGAAAGTACTGTGACAGTTTTGATCACCCTGCTTTCTAGCCTTGCAATGAATGTGACCAGTTCCTGCCACCATGCCTAATCTGCCACGATGGACCACAGTTGACTAGCAAACCCCTACTCCCTTAAACGGCTTTTCACAAGGAAGGCAGTGGGACACTGGTCCTCCTGCTTCCGTTCTCAGCCTTCCATAGATTATTCACAATGGACTCCAGCAAAATTCTGACCTTAACCAGAACCATGTGTTTCTCCCGTGCTGAATTTGAAGACAGCTTTACATTTACAATAAAAGCCAAAGCCCTGAAGACAGCCTGCAGAGCTTGTGTTTTTCCAGCTCTCTGCATCACTGTGGTTGGTATTCCTTACAGTTCTTCCCTTTGCTTATTCTGCTCTAGGCCTCCTGGGCATCTCTGGGTCATTGCACTTACCTGTCCTCATGCTCTCTACCCAAGGATTTGCCAGGGTCCATCCCTACCTAGCCTTCGGATCTTTGCTTCACTTAACACACATAACCATTCTCTCTTCATTTTTACTTTCCCATCCCATTTAACATCATTTACATACTCTGCATTTTTATTAATTCATACAATTTATGAATTGGGTCCTCACCATTTGCCAGGCATTACACTAGCTCCTAATACAGCTGAAAACGGGCAAATATCCCTTTACTGGAAATGGCAAACAGTAAATGTGGCAAACCAATGTAATGCATATTAGATAATGGCAATACCATTGGAAGGCAATTAAAGGAGATTTTTGTCTCTCTCACCTCAAAACAGGTTTCTGTGTTTGTACCCTTGTGTTCAGTGACAGCAGTGTCCAAAGACACCGGTGTCAACTAAAATATTAAAATGAAACCCAAGGTAGCTACCGTTATTGGGCACTTTAAGAATAACATACCCGTGTGCCTAAGGACAGCAATGACTGGGCTCGGTGTTTTATATACAAGCCATTAAGTTGGGAGGGGGACACTGGAGAGTCGTGGGCCCAGGAGTCCGAGGGGAGGACTGGGGATGGTGGCGGACATGATCAAAATACAATGTCCACATGTATGAGATTCAGAATGCTATCAATTAAGAAAGCGGTTGCACCCCGGCTCGATCCAATGGGCAAGTGGGGCCGACCTCTGGGGCACGTCTTCCAATTCTTAAACTCAACAGTGATTTCACGCATCCTGGCCGCTACCACTAAGCCCTGATTCCAACCAGGGGTCAGGAGTGTTCTGTCCTAGGTGCTTCGACTCCCGGCTACCACCTGCGGCCCCGGCCGAAGCCCACACCACCTCGCCAGCCTCTCGGGCTGGGGAAGCGCGAAGCACTGACCTGAGGGAGGCGAGGAGGACCGCAGTGCAGCGCGCACGCTGCTGCCACCGCCGCAGGATACTTGGTGGAAACACACTCCGCCCCGCCCCGCTGCGGCGCAGGCGCACTGCTAGCCCCAGGCCCGGCAGCGGGGACACGTGACTGCCAACCCACGTGACCTCCCCGTGCCCCCTCTTCCGCTGAGCCCGCAGCCGCCTCCGGTCCTCTCGGGCTTCCGCTCGCGTAGCCGGAAGGCTCTCGCTCCCCGTGCTCTGTCCCTAGCCGCGGCACCGAATAAAGTTTTTGAATTCAAAGGCGCTTTTTTTTTTTTTTAAAGCCCCAACGCTCCCTTTCTGGGCCCGGAGGCGGCGACCGCTGAAC